TAAAGCGCACCTTCAAATAGCGTTAGGAAATGTGGTTTCAATTTAGAAAATCTTTGTGATAATCTTAAAATATATTTTAATTTTTAATTATAAAAATTTAAAGCTTAAAAAATAGCGTAGATCGAGCAGATCTATGAAAACTTGAAAATTGATGGTCCAAAAATGCATTACAAGATGCACTATTTCCAAAACTTGAATTTTGTTTTTTTCCATATCCATACATCTTGATATTGAGATGATCAATTTGAGGATATTTAGGCATCAAAACAACTTCTTCTAGTAAAAGTTTTGAGGTGGGCTATAATTGATTGTTTAGAGCCTCAACTTTATATAAAAATTTTCTTAAGTAAAGAAATTACAAAAAAAAAAAAATAGAAAAGAAAGGAAAAAAGGGTTTTCATATTTTACTTCACACAACCTTATACAATTTACAATCCGATGTATATATTAAAAAGAAAGAGTAATGATCCTATGAGACCCTCTCACACCCATGTGTGCAGAACGCAAATGATCGACATTAAATTTATCACAAATCTCTAGAAAAGTCAAGTCCCACACACATGTGATAACTCTTCTAGTTATCTGTGTCAAATTTAATGATGATCCTTTAAGGTCCTACACATATGGGTGTGGGAGGGTGTCATAGGATTATTACTCAAAAACAAATTACAAATAAGAAAGAAGAATTTGATATTGGAAAAAGTTATAAAGTATAATCCTTACATTGCAAAGGTAAGGCGTGACAAAACCCCATTGGAAAAGGTTCTTTCGAATCTGAAAATCCATCTATTTAATCATCTTGACCTCAAGATCTATCCATATCGGAAAAAAAAGATTTTAAAAAAAATATGTTCGGTACGATAAATAAAATGGGAAATTATATGGAGGTCAAAATTTTTGCAAATTTTATGCAGATGTCCATTTATTTTTACCAATGCTAAACCCTCTGTCCAATGTTCCAAATATTGGACCTTTTTTTATTTATTTATTTTTTTGAAGTGTAAGGACCAATTCAAGGTTTGGATCCTCAGACCACTTGGCTTTTGAAGATTGTGCAAGGCAAACACTCAGAGGTTTGGAATCTCGAACCTATCCCTAGACTGTGAACTTCAATACAGGGATCATTCTGAGGTTCTAGACCTCAGACTACTTGGATTGCATGAACATTGTACAAGTCAAGCAATCCAAGATTTCATACAATAGAGCGGTATCTGCGAATTTTACAGTCCATGGACTGGTCCGAAGTTCGAGCCCTTGGACTGCTTGGCTTGCACAATGTTTACATAAGACAACAGTTCGTGGTCTATAACATCATACTGGTCCCTAAACTTCAAAAGATAAAAATAAAATGAAATAAACAAGTTGTTTGATGTTTGAAACATTGGACTAAGAGACAAAACTGAAAAAATAAAAACATGGCAAAAGAAAATAGTGGTCAGACGTCTGGAACATCGAACCAGTGGACATCCTCGTACTTGTGATAAAATCTATATCTCCATGTAATTACCATATTTAAATATGGTGTGAATGAAAGTTTATAAAGGATCCAAATCTTAAAAATAACGCATCTTATAATTCATTTTCAAGATTTTCAAGTGCTAATAGAGCTTCTCAATTTGCACTATTTTTGTGAAAGTTTAAATTTAATAATTAAATATAAAATTAGATTTTTGTGGCCATCTTAGGAATTTTCAATAGCAAAATTACATCTTTTGATGAAGCTTGAAGTTATGCTTTACTTTGATTATTTAAGATTGGAACCTTATGCAACCATATCCTTTGATATTTAACTATATAAAATATTATACAAGTTATACGATGAAAATATATGCAGGCCTATTTGGTTGATTGTTAATTTTGGTAGAAACAGACTATATCGTCTAAAATAAATGAACTCTAATCTTGTAATAAAAAATAAAAAATAAATGAACTCTACAAAATAGTATGTTTTTTTTGTTGTTTAGCACATAACATGTATTATTTATAACACTATTTAGTTATTTAACTTTTTATGTATTTTTTGCTATTTTTAGGTATTCTAGCAAAAAAAAATATGATTTTTATAAAATTATTTTGAAAAAGTAAAAATAGCTTTTCATAACAATGAACTTAGATATAAAACTGCCTATAACTTATTTAAGATAATTTTATGAAAAACAATCTCAAAGAACATATAATTCATTATCATAACTAAGTTGATTGAAACAAAGACATTCAAACAAACATGTGCAGCGATACTTCCTTACACGGGTACAGAGTATCATACATGAACAAGGTTAGGATCGAAGCAGCAGTTGTAACCATTGGATTTAAAGGACTTTGTTATTGTAATGATCATAGTTAGCAAGTTGGGGAATAATTGTATATTGGCAAGCCAAAATATCGTTAATGAATTAGTTTTGTTTTAAAAAGTCGATGGAAAAAATGGGGTACAAAATATGGATGGCCAAAAAATAAGGTAAGTTATAAAGTCGTGAATAATTCGGATTTGTCTCATAAAAAAGGAGTTGAAAAATAGGATATGTAAAGATGACATAACATAGGATTATGATTTGCTGTTATTGTATAGATACATTAAAGCCATTGAACAATAATTTTATGATCATACCTAGTGTCTTCATAATCATGTTTTTTTCACGGAACCTTACTAATAAGAAATCAATTTTACGTAATATTAATTAATTTGTTAATGAGTTTTTGTTAATAATGGAGATATTAAAACGAAAAGACACAAAATAACGTAGTTACCAGTCATGACGTACTCCGGAGCAGCATAGCCTTGTGTTCCCATAACACGTGTGGTCACATGTGTATCTTCTCCCTCTGGTCCAACCTTTGCCAAACCGAAATCAGAGAGCTTGGCAGTGAAATCCTGGCAAGTATTTAGTAAATATTTAGAGAACAAAGTTATGTCCGTTATAATATTATTACTATTAAATTTTAGGAATTGTATACAATGAGACCATTTACCTTTAGTACAGACAGGTCACAATCACTTACAACCATCTGATGTGAAATCTGATAGCTTGGGTGTGTCATAAAGTTTGACAAAATTTTTTTTGAACTTTGAGCTTGGTCAATAAAATCAATGCAGCCACCCAATTTCACATCCAGTGGTCAAGATTAGTTGTGCCCACTTTGTACAAAAGATAAATGGTCTCATTATATGCTTTCCCTAAATTTTAATAGCTATTGTTATATGTTGTTTTAGAAGAAGAACATGTATACTATGCCTGTAAAAAGGACCATAGTGTACACTTATCTCCTTGGGCAGAAGTCCCACTTGGGAGGATTTTTTCTGGTCTAAAACTTTTGGTACCACCTAAGAATCACTAGATGATTAAATTCCATGTGTCTCTAAAACTTAAATCTCATACTCTAGAAATAGGATGGTATCTATTGAGATATTATGTTATTCAAGCCCCATAGAGAGTGCAATATGGATTTTTTTTTTCTTTTTCTTTTTTAATTAAGGTTAGTTTAAGGGTTGAAGAGGTTGCAACAAAATTTGGGATCCTAAAAATGCTCCTAGATTGGAGCTTGGAGTAAATAAAATGTATGATCCCACGAGAGCCTGAAATATTTTGGTTATTTATTGTTTAGTTCATTTTCTTTCTTGTTAGAGTATAAAAGATCTTTAAAGAGACTCTCAATGTCTATTCATCAATATAAATATACAAGCTTGTCTTATATAGACAAATAGAGATGATAAGAATAGAAATAAATCACAGACGCCTATACTATAAGTAGACTTACTGTGATGTTGTGCCTACCCTTCCTAAGCATATTCATTATAATATACATATTCTATAATTAGTCCTATCAAATTCAAGATCCTTTGAGAGAGAGGAGCTAGAGTTTAAAGTGCACAACTTCAAATTGCTTGATCAATAAGCTTAATTAGATCTTAGAATCGTAGCTCAGAACGGTAAGACCAAGACAATCAACAGATAGAATATGGCATGCTCAAACAATAATAGATCAACACATTTTACGAATAGAAGGCCAGAACAGAGTAGGCTCAAGCAACCGTAGTTTAGCAAGCCTCAAAAATAGATGGCAAGAATAAAGTAGTATCAAGCAATGTCAGATCAACAGACTTTAACAACGATAAAACCTTGAGTTCTTCGCCAAAGACAAAAAAAACAATCCAGACAACTGAAATAACTTAATGGTACTTGAAAGAGCCAGCACAACTCGATACAAGTTCGGGACCGATTCAACAACTCATTGACAAGAAAAGTTAGGATTGAGCAGTAGAGCAACATAATCATTCAAAAACAGAACATAGCAAAGATGATCTCAGAAACAGTTATCAGGGCTTTGGTTGGACAAAAAACAATGATAAAAGGATCTGGCTACTATTAAAAAGAAAACAAGCTCACATTAAAAGATTGGTCCACCATTTCAAAGTACAATGGCATGTCAAAGCCTCAAGAAAGAAAAGGAAACAAAGAAGGCAACAGAGAGGACCGACAAGAGAAAGGAAGAGAAGCGGACTTGCATATAATGGACAAAAATGATATTCAGCATAAACCAACAAGCAATTGACTAAAGAAAAATGTGAAATACAAATAAGGTGATTGATTCCGAGATGCACTGTAAAATTGGAAGTCCAATCTATAATTTCCAGAATTGATCATCGGGTTGTAGGCAGACATGAATAGATAAGATCGAGTAATAATAGATTAACAGACTTGATTGTACATCAATGGAATAGCAAATATGAATTTGACTTTGATACCATGTTAGAATCTCAAGTTTCTTTGAAGAGACTCTCAATGTCCATTCATGAATATACAAGCTTGTCTTATATAAACAAATATAGATGACAAGAATAGAAATGAATCACAAACTCCTCTATCGTATCTAGACTTTCTGCAAAATACAACCCCCCTACACATTGATTATAATATGGGATTGTAGACAATGAAAGCACTTACCTTTTGTACAATGAGGTCACAATTACTTGCAACTATCCAATGTGAAATGTGATAGCTTAGGTATGTCACAAAGTTTAAAAAAAAAAAATTTTAACTAAAAAAAATTTAAGGTGGTCAAGATTAATTGTGACCACCTTGTGCAAAAGGTAAATGGTCTCATTATATACGTTTCATTATAATATACACTTTCTAAAATTAACCCTATAGACATACACTTTCCTTAACATTTCTAACCGCTAGTTAAATAAAATATATTGTATGATGCTCCTTTTAAGAGAGTGAAAATATTCAATTTAAACATTATTTTCTTTTTTTTTTCTATTTTTTATTCATTCGACGGCATTTTATAGTCATTTGATTTTCTATTTAAATTCTTATCTTTTATGAGCTAAATGGTGTTTTCTTTCAATGGGATAAGCTAAATATTGTTATACAAGTTCCAGTTTTTTTATAGAAATGATCAGCATATAAAAGCCAATTTATGGATTTTTTATTAATTTTCCTCTTTATTGCTCACTCATATTACTTGTTGATAGCAATTACATTTACAAGACAAGTTTATAAAACATAGAAAATACGAGATATTTTTAAACGAAGAGATTCTAGAGTTGGAATTTAGAGAGAGAGAAAAGAGGGAGGGATTATAGAAATTTTGGAAGAAAAAAATAATATTGAGAAATTTAAGTGTCACGTCATATCTATTCTCACTTGACCAATAAGAAATATAGAGTCACACCCTTACTTATCATCAAGTATTTCGTAAGGTCCTGGCCCAATTCTGGCCAAGAAAACCAATACCACTCGAAAACTCTATAAATCCATAAACTCTTCGTTGCCATTTTACGGATTTTGAATAGAAAATCAATGTCTCTAAAACTGACCCATTTTACAACACTTTTTCTGGATGATTCATATTAACTTTTCATTATATTTGAACCACCTACTTCTTTGGTTAAAGACTAAATTGAATTTACATGACACCCCACTATTTTTTGGGCACCAAATATTAACTTTTTTAGCGTGGTTTTTGTTAGGTTTAGTGATAGTCAAAATCACCACCCCTATATTTTATTCTAAAGATTAAAGGTATTATGATAAATAAATAAATAAATAAATAAATAAAAGACTTTACTGAGAAGTAACAAAAAAGCCTATTGATATCTATAAAAGAGGTCAACATAGGCATCTTATTTATCCTTAAAAGATCACCTATTTTTGGTGTCTATCGAAAGGGATATCCAAGAAGGAGATAAGTCTATAAGAGAGAGAGATGACCTCATATATATATATATATATATATATAGAGAGAGAGAGACAATATTCCCATGGGATTTTTTGTCTGTTCAATTTCTACTTCTAGAGAGAAAGTCTCTCGGTTGCTCTCAATGTGTTCTTTTTAGTAGTGATATAGGGGTAGGAAATATGAGATTGATCAATGGTGTTGCTCGGTTGGGAGCACGAGTTTAGAAGGAACGATTGATAAGGTTTTTTAATGATATTTCGAGATGGGTATATCTCTTGTAACTCAAAATTATAATCTTCACTGTGATAGCAGATTTCTATTTGTCAAGGCTGTGGAAGAAGGCGTACGAGGTGAATCACGTAAATTGTGTATCACGCTTGTTTGATTTTGTGTTTTTGCTTTATTTCTTACACTCAAGTGATTGTATTCATCTATTTTGCTTGAGCCAACTATTTACATAATCTTTAGTGGGATCTCAGTAGTTGAGATTCCTATTTCCACGAGCAAGGGGTTCTCGAGGACCCTACAATTTGTATTAAAGCACAATATATGTATGAGGCTAAAGCTTATATGAAGAAAGAGATGAACGTTGAAGTTAGATGGATACATGGTTTAAGGTGATGAAACATAGAGGAGAAGTATTTGTGAAAATTCCACAATGAAGGTAAGTGAGAAGAAATCAAAAAATCTATTTAATAAAGGTCGGCAAGGTGATTGCTATCAAGGTGGAGATTGTTAGATTTTGTGATAGTCAAAATCACCATACCTATGTTTTTTTCTAAAGATTAAAGGTAGTATGTAAATAAATAAATAAAAACTCTCTTGGGAAGCAAGAAAGAAACCTAGTGATCTCTATAAAAGGGGGGTCAAAGGAGACCTAATATTTATCCTGGGTCACCCTTTAAGAGGTTCATGGAGAGGGATCTCCAAGAAAGAGATGAGTATTTAAAAGAGAAAGATGACTTCATAATGAGAGGCAATATTCTCATGAGATTTTGGATTGGTTCAATTTCTACTTTTAGAGAGAAAGCCTGTTGGTTGCTCTCAAAGTGCTCTATCTGGTGTATAGTGGTAGAAGATGAGATTGATTGATGATGTTTTTCAGTCAAGAGAGTGGGTTTAAAAGGGAATTTTAGAAGGGAATATTGGTGAGTTTTTTTTTAATGATGTTTCCAGAGAGGTATATCTCTTGTAACCTCAAGTTATGATCTTCATTTTAATAGCAGGTTTCTATTTACCGAAGCCGTGAACGTAGCTCTACGAGGTGAACCACATAAATTGTGTGTCATTTATGGTGTGATTTTGTTGTTTTTACTATGTTTATTACACTCAATTTATGTTTGTATTAATCTGTTTTGCATTTAGTCGACTTTGTACACGAGCTTAGGTACGATATCTTGCGAGCGAAGGGTTCTCGAGGACCCTACAGTTTTGAGATAAGGTTGTGCGAGGCATTGCCCGAACCTCGGTCTTAGAAATCTATCATCCATGCGTGTTATGCCTACTAGTCAATAAATTTAACCTATTTTTCTAATTAGGGGAATTGAAGATTGGATGGGGCTGGTCCATTCCCGTTTTATAATTCGGACTGCCGTTATATTGTGAAAATAACAACAATATCTCCGTTAGTTTGTGTTTTCAAGTCATCATCTTGTTACTAAAAACTGAGACTCTGGCGTGAACATCTCATGCAAAATAACCACCGATTAGCCACTTCCTCAGTATGTTTGTAATGGGTTGGAACCTTTAGTGATATAGAAGCCGTTATTTTTACGCAACAGCCGTTATTCGAAATCCTGGGTTATTCTTTGGCTTATCCTACCTCGGAAGGAAAAGAAAATAACGTACCGAGTCGAGTAAAACGTTGGAAGTCTTGAAATCACGGTATATAACAGGTTTCTCGGCTCCATGCAAGAAGGCGAGACCCTTGGCCGCCCCTATCGCAATCTTCAATCGTATCCCCCATGCCAATGAGTTAGAAATCCCTGCCCAATAAATAAATATTAGAGAGTGGTATTCTTTTTGAATGAGTGTGCATGGAGTATGTGAAGGTTCAAACTCTAAACCCCCTCATCAATTCATCAGGGAAAGACGGTGATTTAAAAAAAAAAAAAAGGGCCTTAAATTGGGAGGTCTCTGATTTTTATTCTCTCAGTCCGGGGACTCATACTATTCCCATGTGGGCTCCCTCTGACACCCATTTTTTATATCTTGGATCCAATTTTGTAGAGATCTATGATCTACACAATGATGATCATGAATATAACAAATAAAATTTTATAATATATTTTTAAAACTTTTGCCTATCGATTGGATAGGAATCTTTAGTTGTGGATGTTCATCTTAAAGATGGACGTTTGTGAGTGGGCTAGTGAGTCCATTGATTCACAAAACACTTTCCCATAAACAATTTAAAAAGAAAGTAAAAGAACATAGGCAATTCTGAGAGAACGGCCGACTCTTATCTAGGGGTGGCAATGGGTCCTAGACCAAGGCCTGGACCTTGACCCTGACTTGAACCAGACTCGACCGGATCTAATGGGACCCGACCCAAAAAATATATATATATATTTAAATATTATATTGAATATATGCATATATTATTTAAATAATATAATTAAAAATATATAGTTATTTTATTTAAAAATGATTAAAATATTATTTAAATATGAACACCATTTGGGTTAGGTCTGGGTCAGGGTGTACATGGACCTAGACCAAGACCCGTATAGCTTTCAAGTCCAAGATTTGGACGAGGACCCAAACCACCAGGTCCAATTTTGGACCATCCCTGGATCCGGGTCGGGTCTTGGTCCATTGCCACCCCAACTATTTTGATCCAAATGGGGAGATTCCAAGTCAAATCCGCGATTCTAACTCGAAAGAGTTGAGGGGAAAGAGATATTTTGTTATTTGGAAAAACAATTCTCAGTATCATAGGTGTTTTCAAAGCTTTTAATTACAAAATTCCTTACTTTTAAGAAAATGTAATTGTGTCAAAGAAGTTGACCAAAAAAAATAGAAAGAGTGGATCTTCATAATAATAATAATAATAATAATAATAATAATAATAAATAAATAAATAAATAAAAAAGCGAAGAAGAAGGAGGAGGAGGAGGGGGACGTACGCTTGAAGAGATGGTTCTCTAGGCTTCCTCGAGGCATGAACTCATAAACAAGAAGTCGCTCTTTGTCTTCGCAACAATAACCAATTAACTTCACCAGATGCGGGTGCCGAAGTTTCCCCAGGAAAATCACCTCTGCCTGTAAAAACAACATCAAAATATGGGCCTTTTTTTTCACTGACTTACCCAAATAATAATAATAATCAATTGCCCTAGAGCCTATTATTTATACAATATTTGTGAGTCCTAGCACTCATATAGATATGTGGCCCCTTTTTATCTATTTTTTAAATGGAATTTGCACCTAAGTTTTTACATATATATGGCCTCTAATATGGAGATTATTAATACGTAAACAAAAAAAAAAGCTTTAAAGCTAAAAAGATTAATTTTTTTGGAGAACATTTTGAACCGTTAGATTTTATTCTTTTAGGAGGGACCACAACTTTACATTCAATCTTAAAGATCGATATTTGATACCTCAAAGGATGTAAATGTAGAAATGTGACCCCCGACTTATAGACTAGTTCTTGTTAAAAATTTAGTAGCACCTCGTGGCATGGGTTATAAGATTAACTTTTTTTAACATAAGATATTATTGCTAAATATCATCTTAATAAATTTGGAATAGGGAATGATCCTGTCCCACATGAAAAATTAGTCATGGATAATCTCCACCGTTGGTGGTGGAGATTAGAGTCCTAGGCAATGAAATTAAGGATCATCCATCGTTTCAAAGATGCATTGAGTATGGTAAAAGATTGTGGAAAGTCATTTAGGGTTGTGTACGTGGAGTAGGTGTATCGGTGCGGTGCCCACCCATGATTGGAAAGCAACTGAAATCAAAAGCCTTAAAACGATTTTCTAGTCAAACGTAAATTTGGGTGTGGGTGGATGGAAAGATATTTGGGTCATTAATTAGCCCGATGTATAAAGTAGGTCTAATATAGCACTGATTAAGAAGTACGGTTTGATTCAAGTGGAAGGTTTTGAAAAAAGCTAAGGGAATGACTAAAATGATAATGGATGGAAGTATTGAAAAAAATTATGATGACTTATAGTCTTATTTAGGATACGATTCTTGATATAGCAAAATAGCGGAATAGGATTCGTGTAGCCGACTTGGTCCCAAATAGCTGGGATAAGACTGAGAAGATGATGACAATGATGATGATTTAATAGGATCACTTACAAAAGAGGTTACATATTGTAATCAATCTTAGCTATTGGGCATGAAATTGGTCTTGCTAAGATTGTTTATTTAATGCGTTCAAAGTGAAAGAAATGTGAAATAACCTATACCGTTAGATTTTTACATTTGAATGTCAGATAATTGTGACCTTCTACCAAAAACCAAAAAATGAATGGTGTATTGCAATCCCTTTAATTTCTCAAGCAAACAATAAATGCTAAATAGTGATGTACACCAGGAAAAGAGATACAGAAAGGAGCATAGAACTCAATAGACTAGTACACACGTAATGGGAAATGACCCAATTCCTCTAGTATCTTGATTTGCATGTCTCATAGATTTAAACAATAAGGATTGTATACTATAAAACCATTAATTGTTATTACAAGGAGGTGACAAATGCTACTAATCATGTAATGTCAAATTGGATGGGCAGTGGGTGTTATAAAATTCAAGAGTTTTTTTTTTTTTAACTTTGAATCCCTTAATTAAAAACTTGATGCATAAGATTGATTGTGACCTCCTTATATTAAATAAAAATAGTGTTTTTGTGTACTTTTCTACGTATTAATTCGAGGTAAATAGGCATATGGAGAGAGAGATACCAGCCACTCCCTGTGCCCTTGCAAGCCTTCCACGTCCAAAAGCTTAACAGCAACCGCCTGTGCCTTAAGCCCTGGCCTAAGCCTATCGTCCACATAACCCTTGTGCACAGTACCAAAACCACCTTCTCCTAACAAAAACCCACCACAAAAATTTTGTGTAATAGCTCTAAGCTCTCCAAGACTGAATACATGAAGACCCGGGGCAAATGCATGGGTTAGGGCTTCGGAAGTAGTCGAGGGTGAGTCGGGGACATCAGAAGCTGAAAGTCGCCTGAAAGATGAGAGTTGGGCTATCTTTTTAGAGAATTCTGGTCTGTTGGGCCGGAATCTAGGGAGTTTTCCGGCGATAACTTGGTCATGGACTCTACAACAACCGGCTGTTAGGGGTCTCCATGTTTTGGTGGTCATGGTGGTGAGAGAAAGATGGTTGATCTTTTGGCTCCAAAGAGAGAGAATATACATTTGGGCTTTAAAAGGCTGGGGAGTCGAGGAAATTTGCCAACTGCCCCAACTACTCTTGCACTTCTTTGAATAGTTTACGTTTTTTCCAAATATTTTAATGCCCATTTTCATTTTTCTTTTTTTCTTTTTTCTTGTTGTTTTGCCCTTTTGTTATGCATTTTTTATTGAGAGATCAAATGCCTGAAACTCCCTTAAAGTGTGTGCATACGGAAAGTACAAAGCTGCCCGCTCAGATAGATAGGACAGAGTTGGGGTCAGGCCCACACTATTTCCTTTGGCCCGGCCCAGCCTAGACCAAAAAGACCCTAGCGGAGGCCTGGCCCTACCCTTATTTGGGCCAGGCTAAAAAAAATTTTAAAAACTGAAGAGAAATGTACAGAAAAAATAAAGACTAGATTAGGCTGAAAAGGGTTCAAGGCCGGGCTGACCAGGCCATTTTCACCCTTAGCTACCAGTAATCTCATGTTATCACTTGGAGAAGGGCAATTGTCATTTAATGATTATAAGGGGCAAAAGCGTCATCTTAAAAAGTTGTAATGTGTGATGTCATATTGTACATTAATGTTTCATGAGTTTTTTTTTCATTGCAAAAATATTTTCAGAGATGGTATATTATAAAATTATTTACTTTTGATACAAAGAAGTCACAATTACTTACCACTATTTAATGTAAAATTTAATAGCTTAGATGTGTATTAAAGTTCGAGATTGTTTTTAAAATATTTGAATTTTGTCAGTAGAATAAATACAACCATCTAATTTCACATCCAATGGTCAAGATTAATTGTGACTAGAGGTGGCAACGGGTTGGGTATGGACCCAGACCCGATCCGTCGGGCCCAAAAGTTGGACCCATGTCCATACCTGTCGGATCTTGGGTCTATCCCATTGGGGTCTATGGTTTGGTCGGGTCTATTGCCCACATAAACTTTTTTTTTTCTCCCTTTTTTTTACTATTATATGTCCATATTATTGGCAACAAGGTCACAATCACATGCCATTAGATTTCAAACCACCTGATTTGTCGCTTAATAGCTAAATATAACTACTAGTTCTTATTGTATAAGATATTTTATCTCTAATAGTTTATAGGTACGGGTCGAGTCCAACTGGACCTAGACCCGAACTCGACCCGTTGGGTCCAAATGTTGGACCCACACCAAGACCCATGTCAAGTATACCCAATGGATCCCTTGTTGGGTCTAGATTCATTGCCACCCTTAATTGTGACTACCTTGTACTAAAGATAAATGGTCTTACCGTATACTTTTTCATATTATTACCCTTTCATTTTCAAAAGTTATGGAACTCATAATGATAATAAGGATTGCATAAAATGAAAGAGGTCACAATTATTTACAAACATCTAATGTGAAATCTAATAACTTGGGTGTGTCACAAAGTTCGAAAATTTTTTTTTGAACTTTTAGATCAGTCAATAAAATAAATTTAGCCACTGACTTTTACATCCAATAGTTAAAATTAAGGGTGTGGTTTGTATAGAGTTTAGGATCTAAACAATCAAATTAGAACCTACCTTCAAATAGTGTCGAGAAATGTGGTTTCAATATTGGAAATCTTTGTAATAGCTTTAAAATACATTTTTATATTTATTTATAAAATTTAAAGCTTAAAAAATAGTGTACATAGACAGATCTATAAAAACTTGAAAATCTTAAAAATTGATGGCCCAAAATGCGTTACAAAATACACTATTTTCAAAACTTGAAATCCATTTTTTTCTCATGTTTATGCATCTTAATATCGAGATAATCGATTTGAAGATATTTGGACATCAAAACAACCTCTTCTAATGAAATTTTTGATGTAGGCTTAAACAACTTTTTTTTTTAAATTAATTGTGACCACCTTGTACCAAAAGTAATGGTCTCATTATATATTTTCCCTTGATTATAATAATCTTTATTATAATTGCAAATTTACAGTGATGAAGATCATTGCCGTGAAATGAGTGGTGGAACGGCGATCGTGAGAGCTTGACAGCTGCCGAAACGCCACAAACATATGGTGCGGTTTCACTTTTTGTTTACCTTCCCTGTTGGAAAAGCTGCTTACTTTAGTTGATGGATAGCAAACCCTGAAACACCTACTGCATGCTCCAAAATAGAAAACCATCTTCATTTTTAATACCTACTCAGATGACATGTTTGAGTGTACTTGTTATGATAAATAATTTATGACCTAAATAAAATTAATTATGATCATGAACTACAGGTAGTTTGGCCGTGTCCTAGCATAAATGTATCGACAGTTTTACATATAAGTTTATATTTTAAAAAATTTGTTTTTACTTTATTCAAAATAATTTGTTAAAAATCAAATAATTTTAGCTAGAAATAACTGAAAATAGAAAAAATCATCTAAAAACATTAAATTTTTAAATGGAAAAATATACAATGAGACCATTTATCTTTTGTACAAGGTGGTCATAGTTAATCTTGACCTTTGGATGTGAAATTGGGTGACTGCTTTTATTATATTGACCAAGCACAAAGTTCAAAAGAAATTTTCTTGAACTTTACAATACACTCAAAGCTATCAAATTTCACATCAGATGGTTATAAACAATTGTGACCTCATTGTACAGCAGGTAAATGGTCTAATCATATACAATCCCTTTTTAAATAAGGGTATGGTTTGTATAAAACTAAGGCCCTAAACAATCAAAATAGGCGCACCTTTGAACAATATCGAAAGATACGATTTCTTTACCTTTATGATGGCCTAAAACTTTATTTTCAATCTCCAATTATAAAATTTAAAACTTCAAAAATAGTGTAGGTCAAACAGATCTATGAACATTTGAATAACTTGAAAAATGATAGTCTCGTTAATGGATTAAAAGATTTGCACTGTTTTCAAAACTTGAAGTCCATTTCTTTTACATCCAGATATCTTAAGGTCGAGATGATTGAATTTAATGGTTTTTCAACATCGAAACAACTTCTTCTAGTGAATTTTTGTGGTTTACCTTAGTTTGATTGTTTAGGGCCTCAACTTTGTATAAACTTTTTCCTTTAAATAATACTGCTCTGAGACCATCTTTACTTTATGAGGCCAAATGATGGGTGATTAAGAGACAACATACCCATAGAATGAGTGTAGCTGAGATAAGGATGTTGAGAAGGATGAGTGGAAAGACAAGAAGGGATAGAGTTAAAAATGAATATATTCGTGAGAATTTAAGTGTCGCACTAGTAGGTGATAAGATGGCATAAAGTGGTCATGTGTAGGGCATACCTAGTACAACAGCTGTTAGGAGGTGCAAATTAGTTTAAGTGGAAGCTTAAAAAAGGAAATGGATAGGCCCAAAATGACATGGTTGGAAGTACTGATAAAAGATATGGGGAGTTATAGTCTCACTGAGGTTATGATCCTTAATAAAGTAGAGTGACAGATTGGGATTCGTGTAGCCAATCCCGATTAGTTGGAAAAATGCTTCAATGATGATGATGAACACTACACATCAAATAACTAAAAAAATAATATTATATAGAGTATATTTACTTTAGATAAAATAATCTACTTCAGATAAAGTTGAATATCTCTATTCAAGGATAAAAACAAAAGCTTAAAAGGTTATACTTACTGGCCACAACGATATAATAGTAGTGTTGCATCCAAGTCTAAAAAGGAAGAGCAAAATAATATTTATTTTTAGAAAATATTGGTTTAAAAGACATTGCTTAGAAAATGACTGATAAAACTGAGGTTTAATAGATGGAAAATTTGTCAAAATATTTATAAGAGATGAATTATTTAGCATTTTACCTTTTTGCAACTATTCCAAGTCATGACTTGTGCCATTGATGGATATTTTGAAATTAAATCAAAAGATATGAGTAGAATGTTAAATAACTCATCTCTAATTGGTATTTGGATAAATTTCCTTAATAGATAGAATGGTAGTGCCATGTGTAATATAGTCGTTAAGAAAGTGTATAACATGTGTTTTAGATGATTTTTCAAGAACAATGTACGTAATGAGGTTATATTGTTACCCAATTTCTCAAATCTTGGAAAAGGGATACATCCAATATCTATAACGGCTATGTGATCCCCAAAATAAAAAATATTTGACCATATATGAGATAACAAATGCTCTCTCTCCCTAAAGAAAAAAATCGAGAAGTTGGAGTAAAACAAAACTAATGGATAAATAATAATAATAATAATAATAATAATAATAAAACTAATATTTGATATAACTCTCTCTCTCAATACTTGGAATTTTGACAAGTACCTCAACTATGACAAACATGGGAAGTACAAACTTTCATCGATCTCCCTAATTTAGTGTGAATGATATTTCTATATCTCTCATTCTTTAGCCTATCTTGTCCGACTATAGAGAGCAGTTAGAGAAAGGAGGGGGGCCAAAACAAATCCTTCCTACTCCACTTTCCCCATAATCGACCAAGTTGCTCCATTAGTTAATGGGGAGCACCATTTTAATATGACTACAAAACACACTATCATGACTATAAAAATATTTATTCAGCTATCGTGATTTGTTGAAGACGAGAAAGAAGAAAACTAGGGGGCGTCCCATCGTACAATAAATTATTAGTAGGGGCAAACAGTTGTTTGAACCTAGTAATGGGATGTTCTCTTACACACCACACAAATCGGCCCACATATACCACATACCTGCAATCCAATACAAATGCTTTTTCAAACTAAAGATATTGAGATTCATATTCTCATCATAATCCCATGATCATGATGTTTTAGTCCAGCAGTGGATTGGGTGGTGGAGGATAGGGGTTGCAACAGGCCTGGCCTAGTTCCCCTAAGGGTTGGCCAAGGCCCGGCCCCTCCCAGACCGGGCCAAAGAGGCCCTACTTTGTCCCAGCCCGGTCCTATTAGAGTTTTTTTATGTACGTACAAATTTTTGGTCTATATATTACCATTTGATGTCTTTTTTTAAAAAATTAAGAG